GACTGGTCAGCTCGGATTGGGCTAGCACTATAAACCAGTCTGGGCTAGTACAAGCAGCCGCACCTACACATACACCCGCATGCACGTCGTCATATGCGCGAAATATTCTCAAGCGCGACGTTAAACCCAATTTCACCTCACCTCACCTCACCTAACACCTGTTACGTGTATATAAGTCGGTCCAGTGCTGTATTACTTTACTCTTGCTTGACAACGGTATAAGAAGCTGTACCGAAACGTCGCATCATAATAAATAAAGAAGTTTCTTCCTTAAGTGGCATTTAGAAGCTGGTATGATGAAGTGGAACTCTCTTTATGGATGCTTGATAACGGCGGCAGGATCTACACCGAAACGTCACAACTACTACTGCAACAAAGAAGTTGTCTATCCATAAAAAGAGTTCCAATTCAAATAAAGAAGTTGTTATCCACAAAGTATTATACTTTTTTAACACCCTGCCACCTACAACAGGTCACCTGCAGCGCCAAGACGCTGGGATGATCCGGTCATTCAAGGCTCATTGCAGGAGAGGTCACCACAATCTCCTTGTTATTATTATTATTATTATTATTATTATTATAGGATATTTATATATCGCACATATCCACGCACTAGTGCATGCTCAAGGCGCTGGTATTTTTTCCCTCAATCATTGGATGTCAATCTCAACGGCACATCGCATTATCAATCTCAACTCCCTGGGAAGTATACAACTTGTAACCAAACAAATGGACAGGGCTGCTAACTGTCCTATCTGGTTAAAATGCCGACCTGGATATAATGCCGTGTTTTCTTCTGGACAAACGGTGGCATTATAACCAGGTTATACTATACTAGTATAAGCGACAAAACCTTTTCGACATTAATAAGACATCTCTGCCAAAAGCAGAGTCGATTGTACAATTGTGACTGTATCATGAGCAGATATTTGTTTCAGCAGTATTACAGCTGTATGAAGTTGTTTGCAATATATTGCAATACATATCGCAATATATGCTTTCGCATCGCAATATATTGCAATATGAAAATTCTTTGCAGTACCCACCCCTAGTGTACACATGTAAGAGATCAGAGCTGTATAAATATGTGCGAGAGGTCCCTGGAAAGAACTCGCTGAAGGTGTGCTGTACCACCAGCAATTGACCTATGTCTGGGCCCTATGTTCCCTCGCCGGCACCAAGTGCATTGCATGACTGTGACTTTGGTGACAATCACTGCATTGTCTGGTTCAGACCTGATTTGTATACAAAAAGTTCTTTTTAACAAAAACTACTTATAATCGAGTTATTGCTTGATTTATAAAGGAAAAACGCAACAAAATCACTATGCTTGACTAGGCTTTGATAAAAAAATTTAATGATGACAAAATAAATATGAAAATAATATTTGGCACAAAATGAAACAAGGAAAGGAACGATTTAAAAAACGGAAATATCCGAACATTTCCGAGTGTTTCGAAGTTTTCCGAATGCATGTCAAAATACCGGTTTTCGATCAGCATATCGCAATACGTATCGTGTTAATGTCTGAACCGGTAAACCGGTTATATTGCGCAGCCCTAGTGTACACCTTTACGAAATAGCGCATTACAGACGAGATTACCACCATACCCAACACCCGGTTCCCAGCAGTAGGGGTTGAGAGTTTAATTCAATACATTCAGAACCTGTTAGTTTAGACTCTGACTTCACATTAATTCGAATTTCAAACATAGCTGTTTGACGACATCAACATGTCAGTGTGTGGAGGATGTGTGACCTGACGTATCAATTTCTGGGTATTTGGATCAAGAGGGTGACATGAATCACAAATGAACCAACAACTACGGACATATATACTTCAACCCGTATCAACAGCACTGTGTTTAACACATCAGATATTAACAAGTCACACTGTAGGGTATTGTTGTCTGAAGAATGCAGTTGGTCTTATTTGCAATGTCGTTTGTAAAACTTGTAGTATGAACTGTTTATTGTTCGGCTTGTATGACTTCAGTGAATGTCATCAACATATTGAAGTAACAAGAAGACAAACCGCATTGGCAAAATACTCTTCATGAATATGTCTACTAGTTATGATTGTGTCAAATGCTTTGGTGTGTATGGCAAAGTGGAGGAGAGTATACGTAGTGAAAGGTTTTTAAGTTCTGCTCCAGAAAGGAGCACTACTACCAAATTCAGTCGAAGCCAAAGTTGGTGGCATGGAAACACAAAAGAAATTTTATTCATAATTCCAAAAATACCCAAAGGCACCAGTACACCACCAGATCTATCTATGTGCCAAGTTTGGTGAAGAAATAGTAAACGGTTTTAAAGTTCTGCTCCGGAAAAGAGCACAACCACCAATTTCAGTCGCAGTCGGAACACGTAGCAATGGTTCAGTCGTTCCATCAGACTTGGTCTGTGATTGGTTTGTCCAAAACCACCGCATCAAGCCATATGATCGGATAACAAACGCTTCAACTTTACGGCTAACAGTGTCAAAACATAAAAGGACTTCGGAACTCACAAATTTACTGCATATTGTTCGAGAACGGGTGTAATGTACCTGACCCTAACACATAGGCGGATTCAGACAGGGAGTGTGCAACCCCCCCCCACTGGTCCAAAATACAGATCATTTGTCGTTGAATAATTAAGGCGCACATAAGATATGCAATCAGTGAATATAGGATTACCTGATTTTGCTGGGAGGAAGAAGCAAATGTTTTGGTAGACATAGCGGAGGAGTTACTGAATAGTCTTAAAGCGACAATAAACAACTCCCTCCCTTGCAGATAATTGTACCCGAATACCTCATGATAACCTTGCTCTCCGGGGCATTATGTAATGTGCAGGGCCCTAAAGGTTGCCGGTTTGCTGTGTACCGTTATCTACTCCTTGATTTACCGCCCGTGTATTTCAGGGCACGTCGCCCTAGCATATATAGAACACGCAGTAGATGTCAGTGTGACGCATAGGTCACAGATCAAGCATATTTACATTGTAAATATTTTCAGGCGATTACAATGCCATAGCTTTGACAGGCAATATTTTTGAGCTTACACCGCTTTTAGAATTATTCCAGACATACCATAGCAAGGTATGCCTTACTTGAGGTGACAGGTTAACGCATTGACCAGTTTGCCAACCCACCGCCTTTCGGCACTCGTACCTGTATGTACCTTTAACATGAACTACTCACAATGACTTCGCTTGTAAGCAAATGGACATCTATCTGGATTGAAAAACTCCGTTAAAAAAAGATTGAAGGTAACATCGGCGTTATTTCAGCCATAGAGAAACTCAGGAGCTGTTAAGGGATTGAACTGAAAAACAATATGGAGAAAGTTACACCTGTGTATGTAAACACAGACATATCAGCCTGCAATATTTCATGGAGCCAGTGCATCAACCTGTGTTCATTGTATCAAAGTATCCCGTGCAAACCCGCCTGGACACCTTCATTGTCAATACATACACCTTCGTCGTGTATGGAATACCAAACAGGCCAAAACATTGTTTTAATCATAGCGTGATTGTTATTAGACCTCTCGTTACAGTTTACCCTATACCTTATATGGCCACCGTGGACCAAGATGCTGTTAGGATCTCTAGATATCATAGGAGTCCTGCCAGCAAAACAATGGTCCAGATTATTAGGCGACACAAGACAGGCGAACACTTTGTCTACATTGGTTCCACATATGTCGCATGAAGATTTACGTCTTGAAGGTAAGCGGACAAACATATACTCGAGGGTTCTAAATCCTCAAGAATTCCTGTGACACACGTGACGTGATTGGCTGGGTGTTGTCCGACCCACGCGTGGTGGGTACCAGACAGGTTATGTAGGTCTCACCATGGGTACACTATACATAACATGCGAGTTTAACAAGCGTAAAAGTAGCCTAGCCATTCTTTTAGAATTATGAGAGAATTAGGAGATAATCTAAAATACAAACTAAAAATGGACATACCGTTCACGACGTCGTCTCCAGACTCTATGCCTGCCGTCCGCGAATCTGAGGGTAAACCTGGATTCATCGCTAAAGACGACTCGATTCCAGTCTCTCTGGGTCCATCGGAGGTGACGTTGGGCCCACAGCAGACGTTGACGTTGATGAAACGGCGTCAATATTGGCCCACGATATGGACGTCGAGAATGGAGATTGGCAGCCCGCAACCGATTTCGAATGGTCTGTGAGGACAGTCGACCTCTAAACATCTCAGCCCTGGTTCGTGTAGCCGGCAGAAATCTGTCACGTAGGTGACGTAGGACGATTTGACGGTCTTCTGCTCGTGACGTCACACGTTGACGACCCGACCTTGGGCGATCAGAAGTGGTGCCAGTTTGTTGTAGACGACCTCGCAAGTCATACACAGTACGACGGCTGCATCCCATTGCTCTTGCGATGTCAATAACTGATCTTCCCGCTTGCAACATGCCAACGGCACGTTCACGTTGCACATTTGACAATCGTGGCATTTCAAGTACCGTTAGAACTGTGGTTTAAAAGTGTTTTTTTCAATTCTTGAGGCCAATGCAAACACGTGCATATGAAGAAAACTTCGATGCGAAGATCACGTGATCGACTGCACGTGCAAAACCTGATTTGGTACTAACGTCATTTGCACGACGAATGGATGGGTTTGAGTGGGTTTTGCTAACGTTTTTCTAGAGTCGAAAGATGGGATCCCATTTCGGATACATAGATGTATCATCAGAGAAAAAGTATTCATTATTTTTCAAATTACATTTTGTGAAGTTTCTTTTTTTGACTCAGTATATTTTCATCAGATAGAAGAAAGCACGACTTGTGTACATCAGACATCACTTCATGTGTATCACATGCCTATTGAGCCTGACATTCGAAGTTAAAACGTAAGTCCCACGACATGTCTCCAACCCAAGATATATCTATACAACGACTACAATATGTTTTGTGTTTGCGAAGTAAGAAAATGACCTGTATGGTGTGCCATATATTGTGTGGGTGTTCAGCCAGGGACGTAGGGCTTCTACTGGGCTGTTTGACTTACAGGTAAGTCATGTTTGTGTTTGGTAATTGATAAATATAGCGAAGGCACATTAATCTAGATGTTAGCATTTCAGGTCAACTCCTTCGTAACACATTTACAGAAATGTGACCAAAGAAATAAGCTTCTGTACAAATGAACACATGACACGCACATAATCCTTATCCCAAAAGAGGCCAATCGATACTTAAAGTATATATTGAATTAGTTGGAACTAAATAGGTGGAGGTGGTTTTCTGAAAGGAATTCGAAGGACAAACCGTTAAACTGATCTCTTTAATGCGGAAACTTGAGGAATGTGTATGGAATCGAACTGTGCCCATGCCTCATTATGATTCAGCGTATATACCCATGGGAAGGTGACAGAACGATGATAGTCTAAGTGTATATAAGTGGATTTTATATATAGAACGTAAGTGAAAAGGAATACACAGTTTTGACTATCGACAGAAATGAAACATAGCTGTGAAAATTATAGTAAAGGATCACTGAAACACATTGATGTCACCGTGCCCTTCCCTACCTGTAGACCGGAATACAGAGCTCCAGATAAGATTTAGCTCATGTGAGTGCTGTACCCACTGTATTTTTTCGGAGTGGGTATTATGAATGTTGAGTGGGTATTTCATTTTCCGTTACCCACTGCTTTCAAATATGTGCGTATTTCAGTCATTTTACTCACCTAAGCACTATGTCAGTGAGTACGTTTACTAAGCAGGTGTGTTCTGCCTTATGTCATACCTAATCAAAATCAACTTAAATATATTGGAAATGGTTTCATAAAAAATCACTCATCCTATACTGACAGTACAACACTAGTCCTATACTAACAGTACAACTTGATAGCAATCGATGTCTTTTTCATTACGCGAGCGATTTTTTATAAATATATTCCGTATGCATTTGTTTAAAACTTTTTGCGTATCTAACATTTTAAATGTGTAATTGGTACGCAACAATTATTTTTCAATGCGTAATTGGAAATTTTCTATGCGTATTTTACCCGGATACGCAGCTTATCTGGGCCTCTGGGAATATCCAGTCCCTACAGTATGCGCCTACTTTACATTATTATAATAATAATAGTCCATTTACCGTGAGCATTTCTCCATGCACAGTGCATTCTCGAAGCGCCTAAACAATCTGATTTTTATTACCCCAGGGTAAGCCAAGCTGCCTTTGAGGCGCTAGAAGGTTAGCGGTTATATACCTTATCCCAGCGTGTACCCGGTACACATTATCTGCTGGGTGAACAGAGGCAATTTTGAACAAACTCCCTTGCCAAAGGTGAGACCACCTGTCTCACGTGCTTATGTCAAATGCCAATTTAGCAGTGTACACTGGATTTTAATTTTGAGTTAACAACCTATTCTTCCAACTACACATTGTGAGATATGCATAAAACAATATGATAATCTTTAGGTGATTTCACTTTCCAAATGCCATAGAGCATTATTTTACAACGAGTAACGGGAAAATGTGCATTCCTATTCATTTCTACACGCTGGGCAGTATACAAGGTTACCAATCTCGTCATCTCACAACAACTTATATCAAGCTTCAGTGTCTGAAAGACTTTAATTTTGAAATTGGGTGGCGAGATGGCTTGTCCCGTATACGGCTTCATAACCAGTAACGTATCTTTAGTCGTATCAGTATGGTGCTATGGCGATCCATGATCTGTTCCGCCGCGACTGTGTTGATTTCTCCAACCGATTGACGTAACGTCGCGATGAACTGAAATATCGTGACGTTAACCCCAACTCTTTCATTCACTCTTCATGATAGATCATCAGATATTTTATGCATAGAATATCATATATGCATAGGCTATCATGCTTTAATACCCCCAATATATCAGATATTGACCTTATGCATGGGTACCATATGTGCATGGTCATTTATAGTTTGAGTGTTCAAAAACCTGTTCTACAGACATGCCCCTTTAATACCCCGATAGATCATCCGATATTGACCTCAGGCATGGGTTATCAAACATGCATTAGCTGTATCATACCATATCAGATATACCTTCAAGATAGAGGCACAAACACCTGTCTGTGCGAATTGCACCTTTAATACCCGTCATACCCACCCCCTTACCCAACCCTTCACCCCGACCCCCTCCCTTCACCCCGACACACCCAAGCAGAGCACCTACGCTTCAATGTGCCATGTCACATCTAATGCTATGTTCACACCATCACGATTCGCGCCACGATTGAAATCGTGGTCTTAATCTTGGACTAATCGTGGTCTTAATCGTGGACTAATCGTGGACTAATCGTGGTCTTAATCGTGGACCAGTCGTGGTCTTAATCGTGGACTAATCGTGGTCTTAGTCGTGGTCTTAATCGTGGACTAATCCTGGTCTTAATAGTGGACTAATCGTGGACTAATCGTGGTCTTAATCGTGGACTAATCGTGGTCTTAATCGTGGACTAATCGTGGTCTTAATCGTGGTCTTAATCGTGGACAAATTGTGGTCTTAATCGTGGACTAATCGTGGTCTTAATCGTGGTCTTAATCGTGGTCTTAACCGTGGACTAATCGTGGTCTTAATCGTGGACTAATCGTGGTCTTAATCGTGGTCTTAATCGTGGTCTTAATCGTGGACTAATCGTGGTCTTAATCGTGGACTAATCGTGGACTAATCCTGGTCTTAATCGTGGACTAATCGTGGTCTTATCGTGGTCTTGATCGTGGACTAATCGTGGTCTTAATCGTGGACTAATCGTGGTCTTAATCGTGGACTAATCGTGGTCTTAATCGTGGACTAATCGTGGTCTTAATCGTGGACTAATCGTGGTCTTATCGTGGTCTTATCGTGGTCTTGATCGTGGACTAATCGTGGTCTTAATCGTGGACTAACCGTGGTCTTAATCGTGGACTAATCGTGGACTAATCGTAGTCTTAATCGTGGACTAATCGTGGTGATCCTGTCAGATCTGATCAGATCTTGAGGTCAGTCGTGGCAATCGTGTTGATCGTAGAAAACATTTGGACGGTTCAAAAACTTTCTACGATCAACACGATTAATTGACAATCGTGATCATCGCATCAGATTGTATTGCCATTGTTACAAAGCGCAACATATCGCATCTAATCGTGTTTCCAAATCGTGGTGATCGGAATCAATCGTGGACAAGACAAACACCATACTGTGTTGCGATCTCTCACATCTGTGACGCTCTGTTGGGTCCCATTGCTCACGACTTGACACGAATTACTCACTAGCAGACAGGAGTTGATACGACTAAATGCGAGTAGATACAAGTTGATACGAGTTAATGCGGGTAATGACGCCTTGTCACGGACGCACACGATCTATTACGAGTTACTGCCGCCTCCATTTTATCCTTCACAGTGTTGGGCTTCTGCTCTTGAGTCCTGAGACTGCCATAAAAAGCGACTATCTTGTCGTAAGAGGCGACTAACGGGATCGGGTGGTCAGTTTCGCTGACTTGGTTGACACATATCATCGGTTCCCAATAGCGCAGATCGATGCTCATGCTGTTGATCACTGGATTGTCTGGTCCAGACTCGATTATTTACAGACCGCCGCAATATAGCTGGAATATTGAGTGCGGCGTAAAACTAAACTCACTCACTCCCTCCCTCTTGAGTCCTGAGGAGACACCTGGATCTATTGGCCAGGATCCAAAAGCCATTTTCCACCACTCTCCTTCCCTGGAGAGTCTGCAGTTGAAAATCCTCTCCTTCTCGACATCCTTCTGCTGTATGGCTTCATGAGGTAGTTCCTGACTGCGAAGGAGTCATCCCTCATGATGAAGAAGGGCATCTGGTGGTCATCAGGGTTTGCAGTCAGAGGGCAGGGTGGGGTGGAGTCCTAGGTCTTCCTCTTCCAGGCCGTTGAACAGCTCCGAGTCTGACATGTGTCCTTTTCCACCAAGCTCGATCCACACAAACTTGTTATCTGCATCCACCAGAGCTAGAAGGGGTATCGAAAAGAAGCCCTTGTAATTAAAATACAGGCTGCCAGTTTGGGTTCATTTCTTGATGGTAATGTGTTTGCCATCAAAGAGCTGTGGTGTTAACCGTGTATATAGTTTTGGAACGCTACTGGGTCCTTCAACTTCAAATGGGTGTGTAGGAGGCTGGACAACTGACCAAACTGTTGTGTCCTCTCCTCTGTGAGCAATGGTCGCACCCAGAAGAGCCAGACTGCAACTCTCCTGGCCCTTTGTGGCTGGAGTTGTAGCTGGTCTGGCTGGTGCTCGTCTTCTTCCTCTCTGGCGATAATGTAAGCATACGGTAATACTGCAAATGTCACGTTGTCATCTTCCTCAACTCCTGCCATCATCAATGGTCCATGGACAGTCGGGGTCCAATCGTCGCTCAAATCGTGATCATCCTCGATCGTGATCATTAAAGACATCGCGACCACAATCGCATCCTATCGCAACAGGGTGCATCGGTTCGCGATGAACGTATCGGTACATACCTGCACGTACCAGATCGTCCCAAATCGGTGACCCCGATCGTGATGATCGTGTCAGATCGCGACCCAATCGTGGACTCGATCGGGACGAGCCTATCAGAACGTATGTGATCGTATTTCAACGGGACACCAAATCGTGACAGATCGTCACCTTAAATTAACCATTCGTGACGATATCGCATCCAAGCGCAACAAATCGTCTCAGAACGTATCGACTCGCATCACCTCGTATCCAAATCTGAAATTTCAGAGAAGTTCCACGATCAGCTACGAATCGCCAATCGTGGTGTTCGTAACGGACCGCACGACAGCGTGAACCTAGCATAACCACCTAAAGTATGGCATGCCTGCCACAGTGTAACTTCCTTTGTTGTCTGATGACGTTTTGCATAACCCTCTATCTATAACTCAACATTTATTGGTGGTACACCTCAACCACCCCGGTACGACAGATTTAAACGATATACCCGATATATCCCTAACTTCATAGTAACGAGATAGGCGCTTCGGTATGCATCGTTTAGATCAATAGTTTCTAATAACAGACTTGATTTAAAGGGTTGTGTGATAGTAGATCGTAGCAGACGCTGGACTTAACGTGTTCCCGTTCTCCTGGTGGTGACGGCACGCTATAGATCACGATATGATTAATATTTGACTTAAACGTGGACAGAAGCTCCTGTCACTTGTTAGTTGCCAGAGGAATGTTTGCTAGTAAACGTGTTCAACACCTGACCCAGATTGTCAAGATTTGTTTCCGATTGATTTTAGTGGCAGAAACAGACAGGTCTGATATCTAAATATACTCATGCCAATAATGGTTGTCACCCCTTCAATTTTATTAATTGGAGAGGAGGGGTGGGGGTGGGGTGCGGTGTGTGTGGGGTTGGGGTGTGGAGGGGTGACAACCATTATTGGCATGAGTATATATGTGCAGTGTCATGCTCTATCTAAAGAACGGAAGATTTTAGATGCTAATGGTGAATATACTGGTGCATGTTTACTTATGTACATGCATACATAGACTAACAACTAGTCTCTGAAATGAACATATTTTACTGAAAAAAGTTCATAGTAAAAGAAAATATGATATAATGAAAAGGAGCCCTGAGATTTTCTTCATTTTCAGAGACTTGCCACATTTTGTAGACTTGCCTGGGCTTTCTTGGATATATTTGCTTCAGGGTCTGTACGACAGACTAATGCATACAGTGCTGAGTATATCCATATATTTATTATTATTGTTATCGTTATACGTCTATATACCGCTATGTATCAATAACCCGTGAAGATCCGGGTTAGAGTTGGTCTCAGTAACCCATGCTTGTCGTAAGGGGCGATTAACGGGATCGGGTGGTCCTGATCGCTGCCTTGGTTGACACGTCATCGTATGCCAATTGTGTAGATTGATAGGCATAGTGTTGATCACTGGATTGTCTGGTCCAGACTTGATTATTTACAGACCGCCGCCATATAGCTGGAATATTGCTGAGTGCGGCGTTAAACAACCAACCAACCATGTATCCAGATAACGGCGTCTCTTTCATTCCCCGACCAGTAGATCCGACTGCTTTCCAAATTACCATTCTCAACTCCCTGGAGAGTATACAACCCATCTGCCCAGGGTTGCAATAGAAAGTTTCAACATCCACCTCACCTATCGGGTACCCATTCCTTGCTGTCGGAAAAGGGGCATATTTGAACTAAGTCACTTGCCCAGGTGACCACCACCAATTTTGACACTCGTTTTTCGGGTGTGTGTACGTATTCGTGTTTCCACCGTCAAGTCATCTATTATCGGATGGGTGTGTTCTCTTGAGTGCACAGGGTGAAGGTACTGTACACAAGGCGTACAACGTTGTGGAAATATGTACTTATGTACATAGACACAGGACAATGTATATGCATTATTACTAAATGTGTACGTGCACATATCTCGCACTTATACTCATAACACGTCACAATTTAATTCTGGACTCACAAAAGTCCAGAAACTCTCCGCACTGTGGGCACTTTCAGACAAGGGAGTTGACCAAATTAAACATGCAGTTGTTATGAATATATGCCAAGGATGAAAAAATTAAACAATTTTTTTTCGAAAACTTTAAATTTAAACTCGCTCGCCCATGGGCCTGCCCATGGGCGAGAATGTTTAATTTCGATCAGAATTCATGTTTTGGAGGTTGTAAATGAATGAGTGTATGTTAATTCGACTAACTTAGGGCGATATTGAAAAATCTCGCCCATGGGCGTACAACGTTGTGGAAAGATGTACTTATGTACATAGACACAGGACAATGTATATGCATTATTACTAAATGTGTACGTGCACATATCTCGCACTTTTATACATATGTCGCTCATTTACATACATATCTTTGCATGTATTACAGTGTTATGCATTTATTACGTATTGACATGCATATAATACATATATCCCTGCATATATCACTCATGTGTATGTGTGTGTGTGTGTGTGTACACATTTTGGTGAATGAATTGCTTTTGATATTCTCATCATGGTTATCGATCTGTTAACCTATATTTCAACATGTTTACATTTGAAAAGAATCGGATTAGAATTGGCCATCGCCAGGCCATGCTTGCCGTAAGAGGTGACTGACGGAATCGGGTTTATGCATGTCATCGTACGCCATTTGCACAGATCGATGCTCATGATATTAACCACTCGGTTGTCTTGTGCAGACTCGATTATCACATACCTGGAATATTGAAACAAGCAAACAAATAATCTGATATTTCAGTGTCCAAACATATTGTGAGACGTGAAACTAGAAACTTGACCTGGAATCAGTCCGATAGAGAACTTCAAGAATGTGATGCAATTAACAATTGTATTGTAAGTTGGACTGAGGTCATCAATCAATAGAAGTTACAGCGGTATCATTATGGCATCACAAAGGAAGCAGTACGAATTCCAAGGTGATATAATACAAGAGCAGTGATTAAAGCAATGAAGACACTGATGGTAATATGTACCTCAACAGCAGTAATCCAACTTGCATCTGGGCAGAGTACCCAGGATAGAATGACTGTAGTGGTCAAAGACCAAACAATGTTATCTTAAATCTTATTCCGTTTGTTTTGCTGTTTTGTTTGTAAATACGGCTCCGAGTTTCGGATGTGAGTCCGACTTCTGTATATACCAAAAAGGGAGGTAATTAATAGTCTTATTTATGGGAACGCGACCGCATAGGTCTGCCGACATGCCAACCGGCGAAGGCGACCTCAAAAGCACCAAACACAACAACAACATGGTCCCAGATGAAAGTTGGCAGCCAAAGAGAGAAGAACGTCCTGAATATTGTTTACCTGTACCGAACCTGTATCCTACCTGTATCCAATATGTACGCAACCTGTATCAACTGAGTGCATACATCTGTACACTTGTACCAATGTACTAAGAACAAAAAAGAAGATATAATAAAGAATCAGGACTCATAACCTGTTGGTTATAATGACCATCACACTCTATGCTGGTCTTGAGGTGTAATATGAGATGAGATGCAAGAGTTAGCTCCCCTTAAATATAAGCATAAGATGCTGGGCCCAGATTTTTTGAAGCTCTCTTAGCGCTAAGATAGTCGCAAGTGCTTTACATCAACATTAACTTACGTTATCAAAGCGCTAATGGAGTTTCGAAAATCTAGGCCCTGGGCTTTACTCTCTCAGGTCGATGGTTGTGGAATCAGCTCCTCGTGGCACTCTCCAGATCTTTCTGTTAAATTCTAGTACAAGTCTAATTATAGCACACCTCTGTCCCTCACTGAATGTCCGATATACAAAGTATTACACAAGGAACATTGTTTCACAACAAATAACACTGCCACATATCGTTTCAGTTTTCCTCAGCATGCCGACATCAGAATTGGCGGCCCCGGATAACCCGGCGTTCGAGAATGACAGTTCAGACAGAGCCCAAAATGGAGATGTAGGTACACAACAGTCTGGACTTGGAACAACGGGGTTCTCTGTTACTACTTTTAAAAAAATCGATTTTCTGAATATGTTGATGTCGGGACTGTTCTTTCTGAGATTCAAGATTTGGGGTCAGGGTTGGTTGGTCAGTAGATTGTATGCGACCCTGTCCTGCTGACGGGTCGGTAGATTGACGACCCTGCCCGGGTAGATTGTAGATTGTGTGACCCTGCCCTGGTGACGGGTTGGTAGATTGTATGTGACCCTGCCCGGGTGACGGGTCGGTAGATTGTATGTGACCCTGCCCGGGTGACGGGTCGGTAGATTGTATGTGACCCTGCCCGGGTGACGGGTCGGTAGATTGTATGTGACCCTGCCCGGGTGACGGGTCGGTAGATTGTATGTGACCCTGCCCGGGTGACGGGTCGGTAGATTGTATGTGACCCTGCCCGGGTGACGGGTCGGTAGATTGTATGTGACCCTGCCCGGGTGACGGGTACATAGATTGTATGTGACCCTGTCCTGGTGACGGGTCGGTAGATTGTATGTGTGACCCTGCCCGGGTGACGGGTCGGGTATGTGACCCTGCCCGGGTGACGGGTAGATTGTATGTGACCCTGCCCGGGTGACGGGTCGGTAGATTGTATGTGACCCTGCCCTGGTGACGGGTCGGTAGATTGATGACGGGTACATAGATTGTATGTGACCCTGCCCGGGTGACGGGTACATGTATGTGACCCTGCCCGGGTGACAGTAGATTGTATGTGGTGACGGGTAGATTGTATGTGACCCTGCCCCGGGTGACCCGCCCAGGTGACGGGTCATAGATTGTATGTGACCCTGCCCGGGTGACGGGTACATAGATTGTATGTGACCCTGTCCTGGTGACGGGTCGGTAGATTGTATGTGACCCTGTCCTGGTGACGGGTCGGTAGATTGTATGTGACCCTGCCCGGGTGACCAGGGGTGGTCACGGTGTGTCACGAAATGAAGTCTAGATGTCTGTAGACGTGTACCTCTGTGTTGAACACAACGGTCCTGTCTGTAGGCTTGAGCCTCATCATCAGGACTAGATTCCGGATCACGTGTAGTGGAAACATCTTACGATCGCATGAATGAACCGATAGTCCTTTCGTAAATATCTTTTTCTTTTCTTTTCTTTTTTTTTTTTTGGGTGGTGGTGGTGGTGGTGGGGGTTGGTTGGTTGACGGCCCGGCAGCACAAATCTGCCTTAGTCGTAAGTCACGTACTTTAACAAAGGCTTTTGATAGTCGAAGAGCTAAGATTTCTTTGGGGAAGGAAGTCAAGGACCTGAGATGGTCGACAAACAACATCCAGTCGACGATACGGGGACATTCAGAATTACAGCGCAAACATTATCTCCCTGCTGCAGCTGTACAAAATATCTGTCTCATGTTCGATTGAGGTAATAATATCTCTGTATATGACCATAGGTACCATCTCCCCCCGAGGAACCTGAAGACCGGGGTAACCGGTGTTCCCGGGGGGTGGGGACTCTACAGACAGCTGTGACGTCAGCCTACACCAAACATGAGAAGGCGGTGTGGATGGTGATCAAGATCCTCCTCATGGTGGGATACATCGGCTACTTCGGATATGCGATGTATTACAGGTATGTCACAGGTGTATAATAGGTGTGTCAGGGATGTATTACAGGTGTGTCACATGTGCATCAGGGATGTATTACAGGTGTGTCACAGATGTATCAGGGATGTATTGCAGGTATGTCACAGGGGTATAATAGGTATGGGATGCATTACAGGTGTGTCACATGTGCATCAGGGATGTATTACAGGTGTGTCACAGATGTATCAGGGATGTATTGCAGGTATGTCACAGGGGTATAATAGTTGTATCAGGGATGCATTACAGGTGTGTCACATGTGCATCAGGGATGTATTACAGGTGTGTCACAGATGTATCAGGGATGTATTACAGGTGTGTCACAAGGGTATCAGGGGTGTATTACAGGTATGTCACAGGTGTATAATAGGTGTGTCAGGGATATATTACAGGTGTGTCACAAGGGTATCAGGGATGTATTACAGGTATGTCACAGGTGTGTCACAGGTGTGTCAGGGATGTATTACAGGTGTGTCACATGTGTATCAGGGATGTATTACAGGTGTGTCACATGTGTATCAGGGATGTATTACAGGTGTGTCACATGTGTATCAGGGATGTATTACAGGTGTGTGACAGGTGTATAATAGGTGTATCAGGGATGTATTACAGGTGTGTCACAGGTGCATCGGTGATGTATTACAGGTGTATAATAGGTGTATCAGGGATGTATTACAGGCGTATAATAGGTGCATCAGGATTATTACAGGTGTGTCAGTGATGTATTGCATGTGTGTCAGTGATGTATTGCAGGTGTGTCAGGGATGTATTACAGGTGTATCACATGTGTGTTTCATGTGTGTCAGTGATGTATTGCAGGTGTGTCAGGGATGTATTACAGGTGTGCCACATGTGTGTTTCATGTGTCAGTGATGTCTTGCAGGTCTGTCAGGGATGTATTACAGGTGTGCCACATGTGTGTTCCATGTGTGTCAGTAATGTATTGCATGTGTGTCAGGGATATATTACAGGTGTGTCAGTGATGTATTACAGGTGTGCCTGTGAGGTCTGACAGGTGTGTGGGGGATGCAATACATATGTGTCAGTGGTATCTTACAGGTGCTTTAATGCTGTATATTGTGCACACACACCTAAAAAAAACCCGCAAAAGTGGTTTTCAAATGTTTATGTTTATTATTATATAAATAATCGACAGATCATATTAAATTGTTCCAAATTGAGACATTTCATTGTCGCTGAGCGAGAATCATTATGACATACATGAAACAGTCGAAAGACAACGTGAAGGTCATCTGTTCCTAATATCGTGTATGGCCCAGAGCCAAATGGAATCAACGAGATTACCAGTTGCGTTATACCGGTATGGGAGAGGGCAGTCCACATCTTTACACTTCCACAATTAAACTTGTCAACTTCCTGTAAGCACTTTCAAGAATAAGGTTCCCCACGACGTCTTCCTTCCGTAAGCAGGAGCAAAACATGACTCGTCACTAAACATGACTCGTCACTAAACATGACTCGTCACTAAACCAAACGTCCACCTCGCGGTTGTGGCCATGCTCTGTGTCTTTATTACTATTGAGTCGACGATGCTCATCAGTCAGAATGTCGCGAATACAAAAGTCCCAAAACATTCAAAGTCAGTTTAATCTATCCACTCTTTTTAATCGCCTAATAGTTGTGTTTTTAATGTATGGCTAGATTTGTCTAAATTGTTAACGGCTGAAGGGATGGTGTAAATCAAACTAGGGTCCATGCAGGAAGCAAATGTACTGTAAGTCTCCGTGGTCCCTACTATGGTGATTTACCTTCAGTTGTTGACAATCTATATATGAAATTATCTGCTGTGTCCATATATGAAAACAACCATAGGAATGTGCTTGATGTTTAACAAATTATGTTCTGGTCACGTGTCCTCGTTGATCATGGAGGGTCGGTTTGCTTGGCTAGTGGTTAAAGCGTTCGCTCGTGGATCCGGGTTCAATTTCCCATATTTGCATAATGTGTGAGGCCACCCCCGAGATATTGCTGGAATATTACAAAAAACGGCGCAAACCACACTCACTCGCTCACTCGTTGATTACAGAGTAACAGCATGTTACGAGATTCCTTCTTATCGTTTATTTGCATATCTCCTTAAAGGCATTGTAACTCATTAATCTTGCATGAAAACGCATTTAGATGATATCAGCTTTTACTGACATTATTGTCACATGCAATTTGTATGTGTCTCTGTATGGTTCATACACGGACATGGGCGACGGCAAAATAGTCGGGGCTGCATGAAATACATGGACAGTGTCGGTTATAATGAAGTGAGTGGGTGAGTTTAGTTTTACCCGCTTTTAGCAATATTCCGGCAATATCACGGCGGGGGACACCTAAAATGGGCTTCACACATAGTAACCATGTTGAGAATCGAACCCGGGTCTTCAGCGTGATGAGCGAACGTTTTAACCTCTAGGCTACCCCACCACCCCGTTCTTTAGGAAGAATGATCCAGCGTATTTTACAATATCATTCTAATTGATTATTCATTCGGGAAATAATCGACGTTTTTAAACCAGTCGGCGTGACGAGTGAACGCTTTAGCCACTTGGCTACCCCACAGCCCAAATAATGGCTGAACGTTTGTCAAGTTATATTTATCAATAATACCATTTGCAAGGCATTACATGTACTTGACTTCATACTCATAGGCAAATATGGAGAGATATATGGTCAACCCATTTCGATCGTTATTAAAAAGTCATTACTGCAAAATTTACACTAGTCTTTCATGTTAAATACCTGTCTTTGAAACACAGCTTCTATTCCGAGCTGATTTGCTTTTCAGTCACTTCCCGTCCCACGCCCAGCGATGACATTGGCATTATGTGATTTACACCAGCCATTAATGTTAAATAGCTGTCTTTGAAACACAGAAAGTATTCCGAGCTGATTTGCTTTTCAGTCACTTCCCGTCCCACGCCCAGCGATGACATTGGCATTATGTGATCTGACAACGGAAAACAAATGGAAGTTCTTGTGCTTATTTACTCTTTGAAGTGTAGCGTTTCTACAACTTAACACATGCTAAATGATACATAATAGTGGATAAAAAGAAAGCTTGCTTTTTTAATTTCGTTTGTAAACTACTGACTGTTTTTTGCTATTGAACACTCACTGAGTACATGTTGTGACAACAACCATCTGTCGTCGTATATCTCATAAAGCGAGAGCGTGTAGTGAACGCCTGTGTTTGTTCGTGCGGGTCTTCATTTGGGAACATGAATCTAATCAATGCCCTGTATGGTGTTTATATAACTCCATGTTGAGTCACTCACTCAACAACGCTGGGAGTTTTAAAAACTCTTGTTACCTTTGATCGCGCAGTGAATATCGAAGATATTCAATCGCAGATGATATTGTGAAGCTAATTCATAACGCCATTCGTGTTGAAAATGTAACGGATATTACTTCATACGTTTACACACGCACCACCTCCTGTACAAACTTGACAGAGAACGGTTCTCAATGAACGGTTCTATCTTCATGATAACTGTCTCTTACAGTAATATGTAGAGTCTCAAGTTAGGGTTTAGTACTACGGAAGCGTAGTAGGGCCACGGTGAAAAAAATGTTTGGTCTCACTATCTCCTACGTAGGACTTGATATCTCCTACGTAAGGCATATTTTCTCCTACGTAGGACAAATTATCCCCTACGTAGTACTTAATATCTCGTACATACGTAGGAGATGAGCGATATATTAATATACATTAATATGATATGGTCGACTTAGATCCGCAGACATATATATATATCCGCAGATATATATATATAGTTATATATATATATGTATATATAGTTATATAGTTATATGATTTTTCTACTGGAGTATATCATCCTAGTATTCAATGTGCTGCACGTCCACGTGAACTCATTATTCTTATCACCAAAAGAGCCTGACAAAGAAAGCAGTATTACGCAAGCTAACACGCCTTATTTAGCTGCACTAAATACGTCTTGTCTGCGGTGTTGGCAGATCTTGTGAGGTGCTTGTTTCGAGGGATTAAAAGGTTCAGTGGTGAACAAAGGGCGATGAGGTGCCTCTTTGTCCTCTCAAGTGTCCCTAGCTGTCCCAATAGAATAGCACTTTATCTCTCTTACATCCTCGATAATCTCCAGGGTATACGTTACGATCACTCTCCACTATGCCCTGGATGCATCCACGGCTTAGGGCGATGATTTTATTACCTCAATTGGCTGGCTTTTTATCCAATCAGGTGCCTTCGCTGGGAAGTTGAGCGTACCAATCACAACTCACTTTCGCTTCTTAAATTATCTAACCATTAAAACTTGGCAACACAATTGATGCAGAGGTACTCTGAAAGAAGTAGAAGGAGTTCTGTCATATATTTTTTAAAGTTTCAGATCTGTTAATTTGTCTATATTATTTCCCCAAAAATCTGAGTGGCACTGCGAACAAACCTTCGCGACTGCGACCGCTATCCTTGTTGACAGTGGGAAGCTCGGTTGTAACGGCGGCTTAGCTGATTGGCTACTGTGAGAATGCGGATCCAGCCAAGGGAGGTAATAAAATCATCGCCCTAAGCCGTGGATGCATCCAGGGTATAGTGGAGGGTTATCGTAACGTATACCCTGGAGATTATCGAGGATGTCTCTCTTAGAGCACAGCCAAATATGCCACACGTACCAACTTGTAATTCTTAAGTCTATTCAGCTCACTACTGTAAAATATTTTTTGGCAGTACATAATTGGAATATTATTGCGCTGCATGTGACCTTCCTTAATAGTCTCACAGTGCCGGAACCATGTTATTTCTCCTTCCGCTCAGCCTTTGCTGTAATAACGCCATATATCAGCTTTAAGTTGTCCACATTTGTTTCAATATCGCAAAAGTATGCGACAACAAAAAAGGAGGTATCTGATAAGACCTTACCAGCAAACAAATCTAGTGGACCTGATGGCATTAACATGAGTGTGTTAAAACGAATTTGTACATCTATAGCTGAACCTCTTTGT